GCATAATGTGCTGCCTGAGGAAATTAAATTAAGACTGAAACCATTGAAGGAAAGTGAAGTTCACTGCTGCCAGCAGCGCATCACTCACTTGTTACTGCCCCACAGGAGCTGGTGAGGATCGGGAAACCATCGCCACGCGGTCAGCAGGAGCCATTTCCAGAGAGCGACCTCAGTGAAAGGAGCCTGGAGAACAAGTGCATCCTCCCAAAAGGAGAGCAGGAGGAATGAACACAGGCAGGCAGCATCTCAGTAAAGCCGAGTAAGGGGTTTACTCACTCACTTTTGGGTGTATCTTTGTCTTCTTTAGAAGCTCTCCACTGAATGCTAACGAGCTGTTTACTTTGGATAATGAACTGTAGCTAATGCACATCAGCTCTAGGAAATCTGCAAAACTGTATGACTACGCTGACGCTGACGATATATTGTGGAATTACATGCAGGCAAAGCGACCACACTGGTCTTCAAAACAGCAGAGACTGCAAAGAAATAATTTAAGCAAGAGCCACAACCACGATTACAGCTGTGGGTGTCTCCTCAGTGTGAGGAAAAAGGCTGGTAAGGTATAGCTGAGTAACAGGCACCCTGTAATGGAACTTAAATCCATGTTTCCAGTTTAAAAAAAGAAAAAAAATAGCCATAGAATTTTCAATAGCAAAATATGATTCACAGTAACAAAATTAGTGTTCTTCTCTAGAAAGAAGCACACTAAGTGGCTTGAGGTATGAACATGAAGGCATTAGAGGAACATTTGCTTTAACAAACAAAAAATCACCATCAAGAGACAAAACTACAGTAGGCAGAAAACCCGTGCTCCATCAACATCACCACCCCATTAGCGCCTTTCCCTCAGGAATGTGCCAGGAATCTCCACAATCCAAACCGACTGCTGAAGTGAATGCACTTTAAATGAAAGGATGTTGATGTATTTTTAGCAGGAAGCTTCTTGCAGCAATTTCAGTGCGAGCTGTATTTAAACTGCCTTGAGAGACAACACAGCACCTGATTTCTGTGCCAACACAGCACCTGATTTCTGTACCACAGGACCTGATTTCTTTCTACCCGACGTGTGCTGTGCACATCATGGGTTTGATTTTTCTCCACACAAGGACAGAAAGTAACCAGGAGAATCACATTTCCAAACATGAGTCCCTGCAGCAAAACCTGCTTCTTCTTGAGAAGCTCTTCCTACCTGGGTTGACATCCAGCAAAATACTAACATTTTACATATAATTATTTGTCATGGAAGGAAGTCTTAAACTATCAAGCATTTTCTAAGGCTCTTAAGAAGCAAATAAAAGAACAAGAAACCAAACTAACAGAAGAATTCTAAATTTGATAAATGCCAGATTTGTCTGAGGAATCTTTGTGGCACTGGGGATGTCTCACCAGTTCCTTGAGAGACACAGGGGAGCCAGCACGAAGGGGTGTGGAGGCTGTGTTTGGTTTTGGTTTGAATGCACCCAACTCGTCCCCACTTCTGAAATTTCTGCTCCTGAGCCAGCTACTGAAAGTCAGACAAGGTTATTCTCCTTCAGCTTATTTTTTTCACCTCCTCTCTTGTGCTTCTACCACAAAACCCCAGTGGTGGAAGCAGTCTGGGTCTTTGGGATGCAGGGTGTCTGCCTCAAGTGCTCCATGCCAGAGGAAAAGAATCTCCTGAGCAAGGCCTGGGCTGGATGGAAACTGCTCTCAAGCTTATCAAACAAGGATGCTCCCATCAGATATGCAGAAATGGGAAGGCTCCACTGATACTGGAAAAACAATCAGTCCTAGAAAATTAACCCGAGGTGACAATTTTTACACCCAGATATTGAAAAGGATTCTTGCCAATCACTCCTCTCTGTGACAGTAAGGTTTTAATTACAGTGCTGTAGCTGTAAACATTCAGTTGCATGTACAAATATTTTAACTTGTTGCTTCCAGGAGAAGAGGGATCAACTTAAACTCCATCTGCCTTGTTAGTGATGAGAAAGGTTGCTTAAAACAGGATAGGAAGAGCTCATACAGTTTAATGCTCTATTTTAAGTAAATGAGTTACGACTCCAGCATATGCAAGAATACAACAGCATAAAGTGAACATTTCTGAAATGATGACTGCTAGGGGAGGCACAAGCTGTTCTCAAGCTCAGGGAGTGCTGGAGGTCCCTCCAGTCACTTCACCAGCAAATCATTGCACAATAGCAGGGCTGGACTCACAAACAGCACTGATACTGGAACCACAGCACACATTTATAAATGGAAATATCTCAGTCTCACCAGGCTTTGGAGACTTGTTTTGTTTCTATGGATTGGTGATAATTTACATTTAAGTTTTCTTAAAAAAGGATGAGAAGTAAGAATGTAGCATTAAGTTCTTACACTGATCTCAGGAGGACCTTGGGCAGTTGCTCAGTTGAGCCTTCAGGTCACCTGTCTCTCTGGCAACACACAGAAGATCCTGCAAGTCAATCTAGCTGAGGCAGAGGCTCATTTTTCCTGGCATTTGTACCTCTCTTCCAGAGGGAAGTATCTATCTCTCTGCTAAATGCAGCAACCACTGAAGGGTTCATTCCAAAAATACAGCCCCCTGAGCACTGGCACGGTTACCGACGTTCCCTCAGCAACTGTGTCACCCTGGAGAAGGTGGAAGGAAGGAAAACACAAAACATCATTTGTCAAGGAGGACACAGTGGCCCAAGATCTGATTTAACTGCCAGGAAATCCTGCAGGATACTTTTTGACCAAACCTAGCAAGTGCCAAACCCAAGTGTGATTTTTGGAAGGTGCCATTCATGGCAGAATCCCAGAGAGAAGCAGAGGCAATATTAGAAGTATGAGTTCCTAGACATGTACAGGGTTGATTATGTGCATTGTATAACATCCTGATTCCCTGTATCCAGATACATATTCTGGAGTATAATTGATTCCAGAATTTTTCATTTCAGTGGAAAAAACCCCTATATGTGTCACTGGACTCTAGGGAGTGAAACTGCAGCTTCTTGGTGACGTGGAGATAAAAAGCTGAGCTGCTTTCCCACAATTTCAATGGAGCTTCTGTTTTGCAAAAGCAAGGGAAGGAACAGATACAGATAAATAACTATTTCACTCCCTCCAACAGCATTAATTGATCCAGAAAGGTTGTGGACTGCCCATCTCTGGAACTGTTCAAGACCAGGTTGGATGGGGCTTGGAGCCACATGGGCTGGTGGAAGGTGTCCCTGCCATGGCAGGGGGTGGAACAAAATGGTTTTTAAGGTCCCTCCCAACCCAACCCGTTCCATAATTCTGTGATTAACTGCCCTATTAATGCAAACCACAAAGACTCCCCACTACTTCCCAAGAGTTAAGACCTTCAGTACTTCCCAGCAGCCAGCAGAAGCTTCTGTCTTCTTTATTTCACTACAACTTCCTCTAGGTATAAACTAAGGACACATGTAACTTGTATTCAAAAATGTTTGGGTTTATTCTTCTTTATTCCTAGAGTTGTCACAGACCTGCAAGACAGCATTGCACAAGGAAAACAATGTAAGTCTGCTGCAGATTTTAATACCTGCTTGCATGTTAACTAGACTGGGTGGAAGTAAATTACAATAGATATTCTGATTTTAAAAGAAAGCATTTAATCCCAGAAGGAAACAAGAATATGGTTATCTAAAAAAAGTGCAGAAACAGCAAAACACATTTATTTTTCCATTTATTGGCACTTATTTGAAAAATAGCATAAATATTAAACAGAAAAGAGACAAGTTGACCCACACTCAGCTATTAAACCCCCCTATACTGATGTGTCTTATAACAAAGAGTGGAAGAGACACCAGGAGGTTCCTTATTAAGAAATAAGCAAGATTTAAAAAAAAAAAAAAAAAAAAAAAAAAAAAAAAATAAAAAAAAAAAAAAAAAAAAGAGTCTTGCTGTCACTACAGAAAAGTGGTGGCACAGCAACTCTTTGGCACAAACCTGAAACTGCAAAGCCAAACTTTGCCTCAGCAGAGAGAGCAAACAGAGCCCAGCACTCCCGTGTGCCTCTGCTCGGGGACAAAGGGCAGCTGGACTCGGGGAGGGACTGCAACCAGCAGGGTGATTATTACAATAATTTAAGAGGAATGATACCAGAAGTAAACCATGTGGCATGTTAACCAGAACAGAGTCAGACTATTAAATACATTCTATTTTCTCTCTACAATAAGGACACACAGAAATGGGTCACTGGCCCTCAGGTCGCCAGGTCTTTGCACTCCAAGTCATCCCTTTCTCATTCTGATGGCTGCTGTCAATCAAAGCTTCATCCATTTGAATCTTTCACAGCAGAGTTCAGGGTAGGCTTTTCTCCTACTTAAGGAAGTTTCCATACTTTTCTCACTTTATGATACACTACAAAGATTTAGCGTTTAAAAATAAAACATTTTGCTTCCTTCTTAACCTCTCTGGAGAGAAGGTTTGAAACCACATAGCACAGATGCACAAACATGTACAAAGAGGGACTCAGCTGGGGGAGTTCAGCTGCACAACACCAGATGAGGGTGTCACTGCAAAATCCCAGACAGCTGTCCATAGGGGGGTCTGCAAATTCTTCCTCCTGGTTGGGGAATTTCAGAGTTGAGATCAGGATATCTCAACACACTGACTTTTCAAGCATCTTAGATTACCAGATTCCAGGCTTCCAATCAGCATCTGAAATTTTCAACAGCAGAAATGACTTTATGTCATTGTTTGAGGAAGCAACATCAGGAAATTAAATACAGATTAAATATGTTTGATAGCCTCAAGCTGTAAAAAGGCATTCAAGATTCCTCATCGTATCTGTCATATATGAAGACAAATACTGACTTAAAATAATGCATTTCTGAAGTACTAAATACTAAAATCTCAGGATTTAATGCATTGTTCCAAATATTGTCACTATTTTTCCCTATTAAAAAGACCTTTAACAGAGCATCTACCACTCCTATACATCATCTAAATGGGGAAGAAAAAGAAACAAATGCCAGATACAAAACCCCAGAAGAATGTTCCACACCTAATTTAGATTTAGTCACAACAGCAGTCATGATCATGAATAAAATTCAACATATAAATTTGACAATTCAGCAATTTGTTATTTTCTGACATCCACTGGAACACAGACTTGATTAAGAGCCAATCATAATAGAACACAATAATATTAATAGTAATAAATTTGCCCCCTGCAATATTCTCCCTTTCATAGAAGAAGAAAAAAAATATAAATATCTAGCACTCTGGGAATAGAAACAATTAGTCAGCTGCTTCATTGGTTTTAGGCTGAGGACAAATGTGAGTTATCTGCTCCTCCACAGGCAGGGAGGACACAGGCTGCTGGCAAGGCAAGTCTTCCACAAGCAGGACACATGTACAGTGTCTGTAATTCATGTCAAGGAGATCATATCCACTGCAAACCAGCAGCCTGACTGACATGAGCACCCAACGTGTCTGCAGCCCAAATGCTTCTGTATTGTAGTAAATGTCATACAAATCACTAGAAAGGCGAATTCCTCCTCAAGGAACTATTCTGGAAGTTTTCTAGAAGCAATGGCATTGCTGGAAGTTCCTATGAGGAACAGAATGGGATACACACAACAGAAAGTCGGGGCGATATCCGCCTGTTTCCCAGTGTCCAGCAGCAGATTCATGCTCCTCAGTTCATTGGTAACTTGGCCATGAGATCCACTGGCAAGAATGGGGATCTGGAGTCAGAGAGAGACACTGGAGAGTCTGTGCTGGTGCCAGCTTCAGCTGGGGAGTCACAGGAGGAGCCTGCACTGCTCCTGTTGTCATCCAGGGCGTGTGAGGACAGACTGAAAACAGAGCGACACCAGGGCTGAGAAACGAGGCACTGGCTCAGGTAAGTGCCCAAAGCAGCCCAAAGCATCCCAACACCATTCTAAACACACATGTGCAGCTCTGAAGGAGCAGCAAGCCCTGTGATCTGAACTACCCCTGCAGCCACACACACAGTCACTTCCAGACCAACACAGGACACTCTGCCCATTTTCTCCTTTGCTCACCCAAAAATGGGGCACAGATCAGAAGTTCCAGACTGAACAATCACTCCAGCTTTATTCCATCCTCAAAGCCCTGGGCCAACACAACAGCCAGAGGCCTTTTTGCCAAGAGAGCCAATGATAAATTGTCCATCTTCCATTGTACTACGTATTTCACGGGACACAAATACATAACTACAGATGATCTGTCATCAGTGATAGCAGCAAAGTGATTTTTAAAAAAATTCCCATCTCCTACACCAAGAGGCAGCAATTGAACCCACACTGCTATCCCCACTGTAAACAGGGTGTGCCAAAAAGATACGTTTTTAAAGTATCTTTAAAACATCTATTTTGCTATTGCTACTCAAGGCTTCTGCATGACTTCTACATCAGCTGAGAGGCAAAAAGACAGAAATACTGTGAACAACCCTTGACAGTTGTGTGGGCACACCCTACGTATGATTAACCTTTTAACTAAAACACTAGATCAAAATCCCTTGCTATTAGCAGTCACTACAATTTTTAACAAAGTACTTTTTATCTCTTCCCAGCTCCTCTGACCCTCCAGGGAGGGTAAGACAGACTCATGTTCCTCTGTGACTAAAAACAAGGGAAAAGAAGAAAAACTCAATTCACCCAAAAAGCATCAGCATTCACATTTGATTGCAATTTGAATCAGACTCCAAAAGCCATCCATGAGGTGTCTTTTCCTAAACATGTTCAACATCCCATGTTATCAGCCAGGCCTAGAAACTGCAGAATTGTAGGGAACATTGCTGCCTGTTTACTGTGATAATTTCAGTGCTGTAACATTATGAGGTATCTCTATTAAAACAAGACAAAAACAAGCACAAAAAACTTCAAGCATTATCACTGCTAGAAAAAAAAAAAGAGATTTGTAATGCATCTGCTGAAGGGACAATAAACAGCAGAGATTTACCATGCCCCAAGGTCCGCCTGATGTGCAGCCTCAGGGGTTAGCATGGTGGTGGATCCTTGGAATAATCTTTTTGGGTGATCTTCCATCTCTGTCACACCTTTGGGAAGAGATTTCAAGTGGTAAAATTTACAACTCATTTAAACTAAAGTCTACTTTCCATTTACTTCTACAGAGCAAACAGTATAGAGGTTCAAACTTACAATATTTCATATGTAGAACACAGAATTTAGATGCTGAAATTTTAAAGTCTATTTTCTGGAGCTACAAGCTTCAGTGCAGTTTAGTGATTAATTAACTAAGTCTTAGATATCAGATATTTATTCTTCAGTAGTGAAGAATAATCCTTTTGTTTCATTTTATCCAGCTATCAGTTCACTGACCAGCTCCACCAGAACAGAGAAGCTGAAAATAAGGAAAAGGAACAAGCTCCAGAATTATCACAAACTTTTCTACTGACTTTGATTTCCAAGCACTATGGAAGAGGAGAGGAAAGGCTAAGAAAGAACTCAGATGAAAGTGTTTTAAAAGTTGTCTCAGAGCCAGAGATGTTCTGTAACAAAGGTGAAGCTTGCAGATATAAAAATAGGTGCAATAAAATTTCCAGATGTTAAACTTGAAGAAAAATGCAGAAAGACAGAGAAACATTTCCTAATAAAGCTGTAAGGTGGCTACCAGGCCTGTACATCAGCTTTGGGTTTTGAAGAGTTATTTTAAGTGTACAGTACCTATGTTCTTCAGTTAACCAGGACTTTTAAAGTTTTCTGTTTAAGCTGAATATACCAATAGTTGTATTTATTGTTTTGTTAGGCAGGTTACATCAGAGTTTTATCACATCTGTATGACCACAGCAATGGTGAGGAATTAGAACAAAACAATTATTAGCTTTATGGAATTAAAAGATTTATGGAATAGTAAAATCTAATTTAATGATTTATCTGTTTCATTATGTGTAATAACTTCAATTTCTAGTTACTTTTTGAAATATCAGCCAACTGGACAGAATTATGAAGAAAGCTATATGAATTATTATATAACTAAAAAGTTGGCCTATTGTATTTGCCAAACCCAAATACTGTACCTTTTCTTTTGATTGATCCAAGAACACTTGGTCGGATGCAGTTAATTGGGCTCTGGCTTCTCCTGCTAAAAGAAGACAAATGCTGCCCTGAGATCACCATTAAAAGAGAAAGTTTGAAAAAAGAATCAAAATATATTCAGAAAACAAACTACTGGAGGGAAACACTAAGAAAATAGGCATTAAAACAGCTTATCCAAAACAAGTCCTTTTTTTTCCCTCTGAAGATAGGCCAGGAAGCACAGAACTGAGCAGGAAATGTTTAATTACGTTATTTCACAAGTGGAGCAGTCTAAAAGCTCTCATCCAGGAACCGACTACATCTCAGTTGACAGGCTGAACTGTGAAGGCCTAGTAAAATTTAATTGTATGCCCACATCACTCAAAGGAGTAACAAACCCTAAATCTGTTTGTGTTTTCTTTCCCTCAAAATTCAATTACTAAAGATGTGAATGAGAGCAATATAGAGACTACACTGGGAAGACAGGTGCCACAACACAGCCCATTTCCCAATGCTATGACATGAGGATTTTGACAAATGTTTTACAGCACTATAAAATCTAAAGTCTACATGAGTATATGAAATTATGTTTGTGCTCAGAAATAAATTATGGATGCAACAAATTCTGATATTTCAAATGCCTACTATGAACAAGTCACATTAATTTTCTATTATTGATATGATCTAGTGACTTACCTTGAAAATCTCCTTGTGGGACTTGGGCTGGGACTTGGAGGCAGCCCACTGCTGCTCACCAGACTTTGCAGAGATGGTGAGAAGCATTGCTGAGAGGAAAAGAGTTAGTGTTATTATAAACACTGTATCACTCCCACGTGGTAACAACTGATGCTTAACTGCAGAGAAATAAACAACCCACTATGAAATTCAGCAACCAGTCATTGGCTATACTGAGACATCACTTCTTGCTACTAAGAAAAAAAAATTAAAATTGGACAGATTCCATTTTCATGCAGATTTATTTCACTGTACTCTGGTTAAACAGACTTGGTTTTTATTAACCACAGTGTAACAGCTGAACACTCCACAGAAATTCACATCCACAACATGAGCAGCTGGTATTTTCTGGTTTGGGGTTTAGGGGGTTTTGTTTACTCTCCAGTTTCTTGTATGCAGCTGAGGTAGAAAGGAGCAGGTGGCTTCATCTTTTGCTACTAATTTGTTTGAATTTATTTAGTTCTACTTAAGATAAAACCATTATTACCACATTTTGCTCACCTTCCCTATTCCTCGTGTAGGTGAAGGAGCTGGAGAAACTGGAACAAAGTCTACTTGCTTTGGTGATAGTGATTTTTCAAAATCATTGTCACTCTGTAAACAGTACACATAATTATCTTACAAGCAGGTACCTTAACAAGAAAAGGACTGATTGGTGTGAAATCCCAAAGTTATCCTCCATCATATCAACAATTATTAGTCAGCCATTTATGAGTTTATGCTTAACAAAAATAAAAAAGCCTTAAACATTACATGGAGAGTATCAGAACATGGAAGAAATTTTGAATAGGCAGACATCCATGCTATTTCCTTTTGACACAGCAGCCCAAGGAACCCACATGTACCTTGAACAGTTGATAATTCTATGCCTTGTTAGTGTGATAAATTGCTGATCAAAAGCAGTACTATACTAACAATTTAACTGTAGGTCAAATTATCAAAGGAAATGTTGACATGAGAGAGTCTCTAGTGTCCTGATACTGATGATAGAAACACAAATTAAAGCATGAATGCATTACCAGGCTCAAGCTCTCCTCCCATGAGTGGCTCATCTGCATTGCTACTTGCACTTCTCTATAAAGAAGAAAAGAAATGTATTGTCCCAGGCCCACAGACAGCTGCAGTGACTGTTCTGCTTTGCCTTAGTGCTCACCTTTCACGAACGGTTTCCCTGTTCAGCAAATTCATTCCTTCTTCCTAAAACATTAGCACATGAAGAAATAAGGTCATAAAAAACCCACTTTGTTCCAGCAAATCAGAAAAGCTGTGGTTTCACTTCACTTTGGCATGTGGAAAATTTAATTCAACTTGATTAAGCAACAACAACCTCAAGTTCTCATTCATGGAAAAGAGTGAGAAGGAGAGGATGAGACAGAGATGTAGCAAGAGAGACCATCATGTGAGCTGGTTGTTTCCCAGGCAGCTTTATTTTCATTACTAACCAAGAAGTAGCTACAAAACTGAGTTATGATAGTATAAACCAGAAATTCTGCACATGCCAGAGCATCTTTATGCAGTCTTGAGTAGTTTCATTTTACAAAGGGGATGCTAGTACAGATAAACCTCAAAAACATGGATCGATTCTTACCTTACTCTATGGATTAGTGACTAACTAGACACTTGTCAACATCTCATTTGCAATACACTGCATTGCACACAATGAATTCAGGAGTTAATGAGTTTTTTTCTTAAAAAACTCCATAAAATATTATTAAAGTGGATCAAATATATAAAATTAAACTAAACATTAATACTAAGTACAAACATGACTCAATCTCCTCTTAGGCAGACACCATTCCTTAAAATTAACTCAATGCTACCCAGTTTGTTCAGTGAATGAGTAGGTTCCCTAATTCAAGAGTAAAAGTTCAAGTAAACATACTCACAATCCTTATCATAAGTAGGAAGTGTCTAACTTTTTCACCTGTGTGATAATTTGCCCAGATTTGAAAGAGATCAGAAGTGAATCACACAGGTTCTCAGTGAGTATACAGGACATGGAATTAATTCCAACTAGTGAATCTAATGCTCAAACACAAATTAGGAAATTACACTGCTTGCTTTAATAAATAGATGACACAAACATGAATGCAGAAGCATTTTCCAGAAGATTTAATTATCAAATTTTACTTCAGGTAATAGAGCAGAGCCACAACAGTTCATTCCTTTGCTCTCAGCATATTTCTCATTATATCTCCCTGCTCACTGCAGGAGGGTTGGACCAGATGACCTTTAAAGGTCTCTTACAACCCAAACTAATTTATAATTCTATGATATTTACATATTAATCCTAAGTGTTTTTATATTGGAAAAAGAGCTGTACAACAGACCTGAGTGCTTCAGAGTAGACTCAAGCCAGTAAATTATTTACATAATGAAAGCAACCAGTTATTTTCTTCAGGATTACTGTGCAACTACCTTAAATAACCGAGGTAGGAAGCAGAAGTGCCTTCCACCACTCAGGCACCATGCCTTTAAAATGCTGCCTGAAGCATAAAATTGTTTTCTTAACTTTTGACCCTGTAAAAATCAAGTCTATCCACTGAAAACTAGCCAGCTAAAAAAGAAAAATTCAAAAAAATGTAAGCATCTTCAAGCCAATTTTATAACCATTCTACTGTCAAAAAGTGGAGATATAAAATGAAGGAGACACAAGAGTTGGAGCTTGTTGATTTTAAGGCTGGAGTCTTCAGCCTGCGGTGTGCTGGCTGGGAGCAGAGCTATTTGAGCCTGCTCAGATATTCCCCACACCACCCCCTTCCCGAGTGTTTGCTCTGCTGCCCTTCCCCCTCCATTCCTGCTGTGACAGCACAAGTACAGGGATCTGGATAAGAAAATTATACAGATGAAAAATAGCCCAGCCAGAAGAGTACAGACTATTTTTCAGCCAGAGTGCTTCCTTATCCTGCTCATTTTCTGGCTGCACAAGAGTCTTGTGCCAACACAAGTTAAGGAACACTTTGTTATTGGCCCCGAATATTTATGCTGGCACTGCTGCCAAAAACTTGGTGAAACTTTACCCTAAGGGTTTACATTAAAGGTTTCCTTTCTAAAATGTCCATTTTAAGAATCCTCTCTCTTCTCAAATCTTCTCCTTGCAGTAATTTGCACTTTGCTTCATGAAACGTGGAACCGGACAGGCAGTTTGAAAATAAAATTACAGCCAGTTGAAGGACATTAAACATCAACTGCAAAACAACCCAGCCACCTATAAAAAACTCCTTTAGAAGAATCTGTGCTTACTTGTTTTATTTGATGAAGACGGCTGCTAGGAATACGGATAGGAGATGATGGCACAAACTGCAAAACAAAGACACATACAATTGAAAGTACAGCAGAAGGGAGGGAAAGGTGCCACAGAAATGTTAGTAAACTAGTGCTGCCCCAAACTAAAAAGAACCTAATTTAGAAAAAAACCCATATCACTTATAACACTCTCACTGTATATATATAACCTACATTACTTACCTGCAAGAATGTTGCATTCTTGCATGTTAATATGTATTTCCACATTATACTGCTTTGCAAGCTCACAAATGCTAATTGGTATCAGCCTGGCTTCCATTCCATTTCCAGGCAACTAGAACTGACAGCTTTCCCCACAGAATGGAGCTGCTTTTCACTAGCACACTGTCACCCCTAGTATATATGTTGGCATATATATTTTCCTTTATGTGACTCAGAATATTTATTTTCATTTAAGTGGTCCAGAAACTGCCACAATAGATCCATTAAAATACAAAGCCAAAACAACGAATTGTACAAATTCCTGGATTGTTGTCTGTTTATAAGTGAGTATTTTGACAGGTGAAAAAAATCAGCTATTAGAAGGCTAACAAAGAGTTAAACACTTTCATTATGGTTTCTCAAGAGCTTCACCAATTTGGGTGAAATCAGAGAAGATGTCACTAAAAATGGTCTTCTGTTAATGTTGACAGTTTTGCATCAAGATCTCACTGGAATGCTATGATCTAAAACTGCACACCCAAAATGGAGTAATTTAAAGTGATTATTTCTCAAAATATAATTTTCTTTCATAAATTTTCCATCCCTCACATTGTGAACCCTCAGTTTATTTGTATCATAGCCATTCAGGGAACAAAAATTCTAAACCAACGCCTTGAACAGAGGTTTAACTTCTCTGTAAGATGATAATCCTTCCAACTGAGAAGGTGTCTTTTCAAAATGGATGTCTTCAGCAAGTAAGATTTGTGTTATTATAGGTGTTTTTATACCTCATTCAGTATAAGGCTTCATCTGCTTCACAAAATATTACTAGAGGTCTTCATCATGCTGAAGCTGGAGAACTAACAAACATTCAGTTAACTCTTACTGCACCATCCTCTAATCAGTGCCACGGAGAATACAAGGATTTTTCTGCCTGACAGGGTGAGTTAACACAGACTATTAATGCTTCATACATCCAGAACCCTCCTTCTAAAAAAACAAACATGAAGACATCACACCCTGCTTCTCACGAAAGAATTCAGCCTACCAGGCTCACACAGAGGATGACTAATATTTCTGCCAGAATTTAGTCATCGTAATATACAATACTAAAGTCTAACAGCTATAATATCTTGATTTGCTACCTTCAAGGTCCAGTTTAGGTCAGCTTCACTATTATACTGGGTTCCCAAAAATCCTGTGCATCTAATAAAAATTCCTCCAAGCTGCACCAGCCAATGCAGACCTTGAGTTGACCTTGATTCTCACACATAGAAAAGGATTTGGACAATAGTGCATTCCTGCCTATTCATTCTGTCATTCCACAGTAGAAATGCATTTGTTCCACTCATTATATTCTAATTTTATGACTGTGATCCACATACTTTAAGGTCTGACATTAATAGAATATGTAAAAAAAAAAGAGTGGCTTGCAGTATAAAACAAAAAATATAAGAAGACAATTAAGTGTTCCTCTGCAGGGTCTGATGCACTAACACAGCTCTGAGGATCCTACATCTTGTTTCCAACAAGTCATCATCCTTGCTTTGTCAATGTGAAAAACTCACTTTTGCTCTGTTTGCATCCTTTGATTTAATTCTTGTGAAGAGAAACCTCTGTCACTTTCAAAGGATACTTGCTAAACTGAAATTAAAATTATGCTACTCAAATCCCCATTATTTTAAGAGTGCAAAAAGCTTAATAAAAACATTACAAACCATTATACTCTGACCTTCCCCCTTACCCCAATGTGTCAGATACTGTGCTCTAGTGCAGGTGAGGTTTTAGCAGTGCCAGGCTGGCAGGAGACACTGCCCAGGTGAGCAGGCACTGCCCCAGCGCCTCTGCCCTGCCCTGCAGTGCCCTCTGCCTCCTGCAGCACAGCCACTTGAACCCAGCAGGGAAACTACCAGGCTAAAAAAAAACTAGAAAAAATTTAACTTCTTTAACTGTTTCTGCTGAAATAGCACCTAAACATCTAACCACAGACTCAACTGCTCTCCTTAAACAACAAAACAAAAGTGCAAAACAAATCAAAAAAACACCAAAACATTTACTCATTGGTATCTCCTGGAAGAAAATAAACTGCAGATACTGCAGAGCCTGGTTAACCCTTCCTTGGCAATTAAATATAGTGTCAGAAAAATGCAGGTCAAGCCCCAGCCCAAATGGCACCACTGCCCTTGCAGTCATCATTATAAACCAGCTGAAGTCTGAGATTGGAGAAGCTACTGCAAAAACATATTGTGGAATTCAGCTGAGCAACTGGGACACACTGAAGATGGAGTTGATGGGGATGACCTCCAGTTACCAGAGATTTTAGCAACTCCTGTTGTTCCCCTGATGGGAGCACCACACAGATTAGACAAACACTAATCAACTTTTTTTTCCACAGTTTAACAAAACATAAAATTTAAGCTGTACTTGCAATACTTGTAATAAAGAAAGTTCAGGTGCTTATTGAATCTTTTAACCCTCTTACAGTTTACACTACAGTAAAACTTGGATTAGTTTTCTTGAATACAAAGAAGTAGGTTCTGAAATACACTTTATCACCTTCTTATGTAAAATTTAATTTACAAAAGTAGATGTGATCTAACTCCTTAGAATGTCTCTAACATCATAAAACTAAATGTAATTCTTTGCTCTAGGAAGAACACCAGGGAAGGTTGCTTCGGGTACTTGATGTTGAATGTTTAATTCTATCACAAAATCATTTATCCGTGGATGATCCTGTCTGAAGACCGCAGAAGGATGAGAATCTCTAAGATCCTTTCCAGTTCTATCCTCCCTGCCACACTCAACAGAACCATAACCCAGATCATAACTCAAAGGAGCATTTCAAAGCAGACAAGGCACTGATCTAGCAGTCAGTGGGGAACTTGATTTTCAGTGTAAGTAAAATTTCATGTATTTTGTCAGCATGTGGTCACCTGGGAGTGAAGAAGAACGACACTTTTTAACAACATTATATGAGGGGAAGGGTTAGGAACATCATCCCATGAAGATGGAAGCAGTGGTTAAGTCCAGGAGACTGCAACATTTGTGGGGGCAAGCAGAAGAGCAGCCCATCAGTGAATTAGCTCTGGCTTCCCAGCAAGTTCTGGGCAAGGCATCCTGAATTAGCATCTTTTTAGCCCAACAACTCAGGATCTTCAGGAGTAAACATAATAAACTGAGCTTTCACCTTTGTTTTTTTTTCTCCTCTTGCCTGACCACAAGCTCAAACAGATTTACACTAAGCTGCTGCCCTAAAAATATGAAGAAAGAGACTTGATTAAGAAATCTTGAACATGACACTTTCTTTCCGTTTTTTCATCCCAGCAGGAGAAAGGCTTTTCCACCTATCTTTTCTTTATATAACTATTCTGGTTTTGTTACAGGTGCAACCTTGCTGAAGTATTTGTCTGACCTTTTTTCCTTAAGCATCAGAAATCACTTACGATATTGATTACTGTTAACAGTACAGTTGTATAATTAGTTTTCTTAGCAAACTACCTTCCTTACTGTACCTTGGAACATCTCTTTTACAAGCAAAGTTATGATCATAAAGAAATACAGGCATTCTCCAAGCCAGATGATCTATAAGTAACATTTCATTATAGCTACAGCATATTAATGTCACAGTTTAGAGCCTTCTTTCTGAAAGCAATGTGGTGATAGTTTCACAGACTGCAATCTAATTTTGTTTATTCCTGTTTGCACACTTCTGCCTGGCACCTGTGGGGTTGGTGTAGGAGTTTCCTTACCAGGCTGTGCCGATTCATGACCGTGGTGCTGTTCCTGCGGGTGCGCAGGACGCTGGCCTGGAACACCTGGGAGTTATCGCTGCGGAAAGAAACACTTGTCAAATGCAAAAGCCATTTCCTTCCCAGCAAAAAGCACCTCTCCACATCAGCTCAGCTCCAAATGCTGTGACAGCTCTCCTGTCGAGACAAAGCACTCCAGAGACAGGTAGGCAAGAAATCTTTTAGCTTGTTGGCAGAGAGTGCAAATCAACTCGTTCATCCTCCAATTCCCAGCTACTTCAATTAATGATTTCAATTAATCATTTTGTGTCTTCAGAATAATTGAAGAATTGCTTAGACTGTGGGGATTTATTATGTTTGGAATGGCTGCTGCTTGTATATTGCTTCAAATGTCATTCAACAGAACAAATGTATAAATGGCTTGTAAGCAGTAACTAAAACAAGCTTCGATCCCACAGCTAAAACATAATTTAAAAATACAGAATCTTGATAAATCTTATCACTACAAACATTTAATATCTTCTGAACATTTTTCCAGCAAAAGTTAAATGAAACTTACAGTAAGCCCAGTTTTTAAGGCCGCCCAGTACTGTATCCATTGAACTGATATAGGATTATTTATCTGACATAAAATGAACTTCTTTCTCAAGGTAATTTTAGTTCTATTGATTCTTAAAGCAAGTTTTACTGGTCATGTCATCATCAATGTCATCAACAGCCAATGATCAGCACTTAATGAATGCAACTGCAGAAATAAACTAAATTTTATGGTCACTAGAAAAAAAATGTTGACCCACAACCCTACAATCCCCATGCCCAAAAATCAAAGTGGAATTGTAAAGGTGAACAAATCCAAATGTAAGACTGTAATAACATTCCAATTACAAGAATTCACATTATATCGTCTTGTTTCAGCTGCTACCTTGGGATGAACAAAAGCCCCTGGCAAATACAATTTATTTAAAACTAACCTGACCAACAGCACTACCTTGCTGTAAGGAATGATAACCCTACTGCACTTTCATGACACACCATTGTCAGAATTCTCTAGTTTAAAACACACCAATTAGACACATAAGTTTTAGACAGCTTTTATGTAGCTGTAAATAAAAAACAAATAAAACTTATACTGTGAAATAAAAGCCAAGAGTAATTGGCATAAGCACTGTACTTTCTGCCAAGAAAAATGCATAGACTCTCCTTCTCCGAAATGTCAAGTACATAGAGCCAGACATCATTTACAATTTTCCAAGAAGTTTCACTCAGCTCACACCCACGAAAGATCAAACAGCTTCTATTTGACTGAGGTGGAAGAGGAAAAATTGAAGGGATCCATGACATGATGTTTAGAGATGAGTTTTGGCTGAGGCCACCAGTCACAATTCTTTTCAGTGTAAATGTACTGGTTGGCATGCAAACACAAGACAAACAGCACATTCTGAAATCCAGGGTCTGAGTCAAGAAAACAGGTTGGAACAATCCTGTCCCACATCACCACAGCCTAAGTCAAATAGTCAGTGCTAACTAGCAGAGAGGAAGAGAAAAAAGACCTACAAATAATCCAATCTTTAATCTCCCTTGCAAAAACACCAGAACTGGTCAAATCTCAGATTCACTTTTCACAGAAAACTACAGTTGCCATGAAAAATCAATTTTATTTGGTACAAAAACAAGAGTAAAAAGTTCTGTGAAATGTAACTTTTGTCATCTAACGTATTCCAATTATAATTTTTCTCTGGATCTATGGCAACTCATTTTCCAAGTTCCTAACTAAAAAATTAAGAAGTCAAAACAGGAGGCAGAGGAGAAAAAGCAAGCTGTGTAAGAGCAAGAGCTTTTGTTTCAGTTTACCCAACAAAGCCATTCTGGGAAAAACTGAAGTTTCTTGCCAAGAGTTGCAATCTTACAAAAACAGTATTCTGGTGGAAAATTCCAAACTAACAGGCAAACCACTGCAACCACCTCAGATTAGTTCAGTGGCATTTCAGTTTTATTTGTATGAACACCTAACCCATAGTGTAGTGTATGCACAGTGTCAATCAAGGCAAGAGCTCAAGCTTACTCTTCTAACTGCCCAAACCCTAAACTAATGTGGTGGTTTTGCAAAACCACCACAACTAAATAATTTGTTCAGGGTTTTTTTTAAAGAGTCAAGGGTCTTACAGTTTCCAATTTACAAAGGGTTGAGATTATAAAAACATCTTGTCTCAGTTACACAATTAGTTTACCTGCTCAGAAACCTCCCAGGGGAGAGCTGCCATACACAGCTCTTCCATACTGCATCAAAATGTGAAATGGGGGTGGTTTCATTGTGATTATGTAAAAGAATCAAAATTATATTCACTTAACATTAAGGCAAACATTAAGGCAAGAAGTAGTATTTTGTCTGAACTGTCAGGCACTGTTAACCATTTTGGTAAAAGAGGTATGTGAGATTTGTTAATCTCTTGATATCCAGTTCCTTACAGAAATAGAAATTAAAAAAAATCAATCCACCAGGAAGTACTTATCATTTAATATACTACAGTTTATGAAACTTATTGTCAATATGCTCTCCCAGAATGCAGACACACCACTAACAGCAGCAGCACATGGACCACCTTACAGTTGGATGGAAGCCATACCATGTAGCAGATGAGGCATCTCCCAACTTCCCAACAGCCCAGAGGAGACAAGAAACAGCCCTTTGGGTTATAAACTTACCCAAACAAAACTGTACAATAAACCCTGCCTGTCTGAAAGCTTTTACCTGCCCTTGCCTGCCACTTTCTGTCCTGTTGGCTGAAGAGAGCCAGACCTGGCAAACACCCAGCCCTCCTGAAAGCAGACCTGCCACAGGCTGGTGGCAACATCCAAGCACAACTGTCCACACAGCACACTGTATTTCTCCCAGTAATGCATACTACAGAAATTAGTAACACCAGCAAAATTCCTGCCCACCTGACACGCTGTTTTGTTTTACACTAAATGTAAAACTTACGTCACGGTCCTGTTAAATGACCTTCCTGACCAAATTTGCCTGATTGCTCCGAAAGCATTTACTGTTGTAACCACAGACAGAGCAGTGATTTATTTTGTTCTGACTTGATCCATTACAGAAATCATCGCGACTGTTAATCGATGTACAAGAACAGCCACAACTCTGACGATGCGGACGGTGCTTCTCTGCAACACACAGCAGACCGTGGTGAAAACAAAGCGCTCCAGTAAAACCAGAGCCCGTCTTCCCGGGCTCCCTCACACCCCTCCATACGTTGGTATGTTCCCTAAATCCCTCCCAGCCTGGGACAGCGCTCAGGAGCCCACTTTTCCCCGGAGAGGAAGAGTGCATCCCCCCGGAGCATCCCCGGACCGGGCCGGGAGCCCCCCGGGCCCCTCACCTGAGCCCGTGGATGAGCGGGGCGCTGTTCGACCGCCTCAGGCCGCCGCCGTCGCCCGGGGCCGCGGCGCTCCCCGGCGGCAGCTCCAGGTCCAGCTCCATCTTCTCCTGAGCCATCGCGGCGGCTCCGGCTCCTCCGCCCCGCCCATCCGCGGCCTCAGGCCGCCGCTGCCGCCCCGGCCCTGCCGAGCCCGCGGGCGGGGGGGCTGCCGCAGCAGCCGAGCCGCATCCCGGGGGCGGCCGGTGCCCGCTGCTCCCGCTGCTCCCGCTGCTCCCGCAGCCCCGCGGGCCCGGGCCGCTCTCCCCGCCCGGCCCCAGCGCAGGCGGGCCCGGCCGCAGGGCGCAGGCGCGGCGCCGGGGCCGCGGGGGCGCCGGGGCCGCGGGGGCGCCGGGGCCGCGGGGGCGCCGGGGCCGCGGGGGCGCCGGGGCCGCGGGGGCGCCGGGG